TAAGAGCGCATCCTACATTAATTAAACGCGTGGAACAACCCAGTTACGAATTTTGCGTCATATATTATCACTGATTCGATAGTATTAGTACATTACGTGTAACTTGTTGCCTACAACAAGGTAGTTGTTTAGAGAATAAAGCGTCTGTGATAATCTATAAAAACAAAGAAACTGGTTTTAGTACAAAATCTGTAAGAGACTGTTTTGTTTCTTAAACTATAAATATTATTTAATGTACTTACCGAATTATGTTTCTATGCCGTCGATTAGCACTTGCAAGTTCAAAAATAATATAACTTGTCATAAAATGAATTAAATCGAAGTTACGTCCTAGAGTTAACACAACAGCCAAACAAATTATTTTTTATTATACATTTTTGTTAAAAGCATAGGGACTTCAAATTTTGAAAAGTATAAACAATGGCTTTTTATAGCATTTGAAATTTGGCAGCCTAACTTCACATACGCATAATCAGCTGTTCACATTTTCTTTTTAAGTGCGCCTGATAAAGATTTCCATACAATCTTCTAAACGCACTGAAACAAAGTGACAAGAGAATGTTTACATCAATACATTGCAGCACAGTCGCAATACCAGTTTTAACGCAGTAACGCACACAACGATCCAACCATTCGTGTACTAGAGCAAAATATTGACTGGTGTAGTGGGGATCAAGGAGGTCAATGACGTTACCAGATGATTGGTAAAGATAGAAAGGGACAATAGCTAGATTGGTGGTTGTGTAAAAAGAGAGAGGAAAACAACAAACTACTACTACTACATATACAATCTGCGTTTGTAGTTTGTAGGCTAGTCAAATAAGGCCGACCTCATACATACGGAATTCCGTTTCGGGATTCCGTTTCGGTATCCCGATTCGAGATTCCAAACGCAGATTATAAAATCTATGACCCGTCACACACGTAAGGTATTTTTCCGTTCGAAATATTTGCGGGCAAAACGGGATTCCGTATGTGTGTGACCGACCCTTTCGGAATTCCGAAACGGAATCCCGAAACGGAATTCCGTATTTATGAGGCGGGCCTAAGTGCGTTTTCTTTTACAATGAAACATAGATAAATTACTTATTCATTTTGGAAAATCATCAAAATAAAGGAGAGACTTTTAATTTTTGATCTGTATATTGAAGCAGAATAGATATAACGGGGGCTACTAGGTACTGTTAAACAATATTTATCTTTTATGCATATTAAGTTAAGTTTTTTACTTATTAGATTTTTATTACTACTTTTCGCTTGGATGCTTGTCTTTTAAGCCATGTCTTCATTTATCTCATTATCAAGTTTTAATAATCCTTTGTAGTACACTGCTTCACAATATGTTAATACGTGACATTGCGCAGTCCTTGGGAGATTTTGACGGTAACTTGAGCCAGCAGACAGTTGACTATAGTACCTCAAGGCGCGTCAGCAGACAGACGCCTTACCTTGAGATTCACATCACAATCGGAACATTTGTTTCACCGTTTCCACTAATAGTTCACATGCGCAGACATTTAATACATAAAATCTCACCATTTTTACATATCAAAATCTACTTCAAAGCATTATTTAAACAATAATATAGAAGCAGCAATCCGCCGCCGGTCAAATTCCCGCCACAACTTCCCTTAATTATTAGATGATCAAATATTGCACAGATATTAATAGAATTTTAGGTATTTCATAAGCACTGAAAGTATCTAAAGAAAATTTTATCATTTTTAAAAGGACGCTAAAGAGACAAAAATATAATGTAGTTCTTCGGTGAGTACATTCTTTTGGATGGTATGCAAAATGAATTTAAGCATACATAGACATAATATTATATTAACTATTGCATACTCGATAAACTTCCCCATAGGCTGAGCTAGTTTGCTACATATATATTTATCTATGGGCTGAGTTTACTTTATTATTTATTACTAATAAATAATAAAGTAGATAGTAAGTAGATATATTTTCAAGCCGTCTTAGTGGACAAAATAATTTGAGGAAAGCTAATGATTAACATGCGCACTCATTAATTTAATATACAAAATCGCAAAAAGTTTATCCCAAAATCCCCTTCAAACCTTAACGATAATTCAGGAGTAACAATCCGCCAGTCTCACCAAAACCCCCATAATTTTGTACAGAATTTGTTGATATTAATAACTTAATTTATAGCAATTTCGTTCTTAAACATCTATAATACTAGTTACAATTATGGGTCAAAATTAAACAAATTTGTTTTAAGATATGTATGTGGATAAAAATAAAATAAAGTTATTTACCTTAATTAGATATTAATAACTATTGCAGTAGTAGTATGTAATAAATGAAATATTTTTTTTACATTTTACGCTTACGTTATTTTTTGATAATGACTTTTGGATTATATTGACTTATCGATTTGATTTTTCAACCAGAGTTAAAACACAAGCAAAGAAAAAGTTTTTATATAATTAATTATTACATACACATAAATAAATACTCTTAAAACATGAATACAGAGATTATTATTCGTATTTTTTTTTATAGGAGAGGGGGCAAACGAGCATGCGGCTCACCTGATGGTAAGTGACTACCGTCCGGAAAAATCGCTGGTGGTGCGAGGGAGAAAACTTCTTCTAAATCGCACAGTGGTGGACCGCCAATCATCCAGATGATATGGATGGTATCGCGATCTGCGATGGTGAAATTGAGCGGCTAGAATTAGTCCGAACAATTCCTCACAGCATTCCCCGTGGTAGATGCGATAAAATACGCAAAGAGATCCAACATCTCTACGCAGTGCCAGTGAGTCAAGCCGATCGGAAAGAACTCGGTCGTCAACGATTCGAACCGCTCTGCGCTGGATGCGGTCAAGTGGAAGGAGCTGGCACTGGGGAGCCCCTGCTCAGAGATGGGAACAGTATTCCATGTGAGGCCGAACCTGCGTCTTGTAAAGTTGCAAGCGGTGTGCCCGCATGAAATACTGTCCCGCTCTACTGAGCACTCCAAGCTTTATAGAGGCCAATTTGGCCTTCTCTTCCAAGTGACCACGAAACTGCACGTCACTCGATATGTCGACGCCGAGGATTCCGATACTGGCCGAATCAACAAGGGGATTGCCTTGAAACTGAGGAGGTACAACAAAGGGATTCTTTTTAACGGTAATCGCGCAAACTTGTGTCTTCTGGGGATTGAACTGGACTAGATTTAGTCGCCCCCAGTCTGAGACTTTGTTCAACAAAGTCTCGACTTTAGACACAAGTTTGTTTCGGTACTTGGCGACGTTTTCCCGAGAAATATTGACACGGCCGGTGTATAATGCATCACCAGTGCTGTCGTCTGCATAGCAATGAATGTAACTGGTTTGCAACATAGCATTGATATGCAGAAGAAACAGCGTTGGTGATAGCACGCAGCCTTGTGGAACACCAGCGTTAATGGGCTTGTGATCGGAGCATGCACTATCTACTACTACCTTGACGCTCCGACATGCAAGAAAACTGGTGATCCAATTGCACAATTTCTCGGGAAGCCCATAGGAAGGCAGCTTCGAAAGAAGCGCTTTGTGTCAAACCCGATCGAAAGCCTTCGCTATGTCCAAACTAACGGCCAACGCCTCCTCCTTGGACTCCACTGCTTCCGCCCATCTATGAGTTAAGTAACCTAGAAGATTACCAGCTGAGCGACCTCGACGGAAACCGTACTGGCGGTCACTAATCAGCTGGTGATCCTCAAGGTACCGCATGAGATGGCTGTTAATAATGGTTTCCATTACTTTGTAGAACAAGGAGGTTATAGCGATAGGCCGGACCTGAGCGGTCGCCTTTTTTGGGGATCGAGTGCACCAAAGCTGTCTTTCATGAGTTCGGGACTACGCCTAGGGAGTAGGAGTACCGAAAAAGATGCGTTAAAACCGGTGCCAAGCCCACTCGACTTGTTGACATCCAGGGAGAGGAGTACTTTACGCACCAAGCGCTGCCTAAACAGCACTTTCCGCATGGAGCACTCACACCGCGTGATGGTCGGCGGTGTGTTCCCCCCGTCATCTAGAGTCGAGTTGGAAGCAAAAAGAGAGTCTAGCAGATCGGCTTTCTCCTTTGCGTCATGGGCCAGTGATTCGCCACCCTGTGCAAAGATCGCAGACATGGCTGACAGAAGTTCCCTTCCTTGGCGAGAGACCAGAATGCACGTGTTCCTGAAGGGAGGTGAAGCCAGTTCTGCCGATGTGCTCTGACTTTGCCTTGGCAACGACACTTTTGAAGGATTTGGAGGCGGAATTATACTTCTTTTTAAGAGCGCTGGTGTTTACATCCCGGGACGTTGATACGTCAGCCCAGGCCTGGTAGCACTCCTGCTTATATCGTGATTCGTATTGTTAATTGTTTTGAAGGAGGAACTTACGCGCAAGCAGACTGTTGTTTTTATTTTGTTAAATAAGTATTGTGTAATAATCTGTCTGTAAAATTGAAGTGTCTGTTTGTAATTTCAAAATAACAGCTTTTTATTATAACAGAGACATTTTTATACATATGAAAGTATATACGGTACTTTAAGTATACAATTTCACAATAAAACTTGTTTTTTGTTATAATATAACAAAAAAATAATTTTTCAAATTTTTGTCTGTCGGTCCACCTGTCTGTATGTTTGTTCCGGCTAATTTACGAAACGGCCGGATTAATTTTAACGGGACTTTCACTGGCAGATAGCTGATGTTATACAAAGTAAAGGCTTCCGCCAAAAAAAATTAAAACACATTAAATTGTGTACAAAATTTGCTTCAAATAGGGAAGTGTGGTAATAAAAATACTAAAAAATATGCGAAGTCGCGGGCACAGCTAGTATTAAATAAAATAATTCTATTCTATTCTTTAAATGTCAGGTAAAAACTCGTTAAGATCTCCCGAAAACTAGGTATTTGTGTTCTGTGGTTACTATTCTCTTTTGGTCTTTGCTCTTTGCCATAGGTCTTTGCTTGGTCTTTGCTATGAAATATGAATAAACGTAGTGATTATATTCTCTTTGGCTATGAAGTATGAAATAAAAATATAGTAGATCTATGAAGTATAAAGTTATACTGATTGCTGCTGATTAGTGATTACTGGAAGTTATGAATTCGACTGCACTTGGACTGGACTGAGTGGGTCAAAGGATTTTGAAATTAATACTAATAGATAAAAACCTAGAACCGACTTGACGAGATAATTGATAAACTTTGATTTTTGGTTTGTATAAAGGTACTCTGTTTGGCCTATTGGCCGTTTATTTTAATAAAATATAGGTAGAAGTTGATAGGTGTAATATTTTGCAAGTAAGTTCAGATGTATTATTTATATTTTATGTTTTATAAGCTTAAAATGTTAACAGATTTTATTAAATTTTTGCATTTATTTTTTCATTTTAGTCTGATGCGACTAAGGTATTGTAGAGGTTCACTCAAACTGTATAAAAGTCACTGTTTATTTCAAAGAGTTAAACACTGTTTTACTAGTTATTTGCGTATCCTTTTTCCTATATGTATTAAAAATTTCATTCTTGTAAACATAGACTAAAACAATCATAAGTGCTACATCACCTACATGTAACATAAATTTGTGTTAGCTCACATAAGATTTATAAAATATTGATGCTGTTTGTATCTTATTAATTGATTACTATTGTTTTGTTTGATTGATGTATTATTGTTTTGGTTCTATTACATACATGCAGATAACTATTAACTACAATTAGCATATTCTTCATAACTTGCAATTAATCCTTCATTAAAATTATTAGTTGTTAAAATCAGTAAAAGGTTTTATTTATTTTAGAATGCTACAAAAATTATCTCTCTCTGGCTTAAAAGTTGTGAAAAAATTGTGCATTGTGCCTAAAGTAGAATGTGGTATAAGATTTTTGAGTTCTGCTGTTATAAAACGACAAAACTTCTTCTTTCGCCAGGTATTTAAGCTTATATTTTTACTTTTATTACAACCTATCAATAGTTAACTGTTGAATATAGGCTTTGCCATTTTTGCCATTTTTGCCTTATAGGGAGATATTTGTCATAGTTGTCACAATTTTAAGTAGCTTGGCAACAAGTTTTATTTTTTATTTTGAGCCAATATAATGAAGATGCTGCTGTCCATCTGCTGTTTTAATATTCCTCTTATGACACCCACAGGTTATGAGTTCTCTAACACTCTACATTGTAATTTTTTATTTGCTAGTGGTGCCCAGTCGTCAAATTTCAAACAAAATTCATAAATTTTTTAAGTTTGAACATTATTGAGGTACTTTTGTCAAAGAGCATACCTCTATTATTGCATATAATTTTTATAAATTTTGTTATACTAAATCAGCTGTGAACATGTACAAAATACTTATTAACATGTAAACACTTAATTTCCTGCAATACCTATAAAAAATCCTTCTACGACAGCTTTAAGCAAGCTGTATTTTACTTTCAAGTGCACATTAATATAATAGGTCAGGGAAAAAGTTTCTTTGGTTGTACTGTTTGTATGTGGATGGCTTTAATATCAATATATATAGGATATTAAGAAAAAGAAAATAAAAAGTAAAAACACTTTCCTGCTATTTTTCAATTGCTTTACTGTCTGACAAAATGAGTGAATCTAATGAAGAAATTCGATACATTGTGAAGTTTTATTACAAAAAAGGGAAAAATGTGACTCAAACTGTGAAAAAAATTGTGATGTAATGGACCTAATACAGTGTCAGTAAGAGTAGCAAAAAGTTGGTTCAAGCATTTTCAGTCGTGGAATTTTGATGTCAAAAATGCAGCTCGCTCTGGTCGCCCTCATGCAGATAATGTTGATGCCATTTTTCAAAAGGTGGAGCAAGATTGGCATATTAGTAGTTATGACATAGCCGAGTAATTGAGGATTGACCCATTTGAAAAAGTCTGGCCATACAAAAAAACTTGATATTTACCACACTAGCTCACTGAAAGAAACCTAACGAATTGTGTACTCATTTGCAATTCTCTATTGAAACAATGGAACTGCACCATTTTTGAAAAGAGTGATCACTGGTGATGTAAAGTGGATCACCTACGACAAGAATGTGTGAAAAAGATCATGGTCAAAGGGTGGTCAAGCTCCACAGACAGTAGTGAAACCTGAATTAACACGCAATAAGGTGAAGCTGTGTGGTATGGTGGGATTGGAAGGGTATCGTTTATTATGAGCTTTTACCGCCAGGCAAAGCCATCCTTTCACATCTCTACTGCCAAGTACCAACAACTAATGAGACTCAAACAAGAAATTGAAATAAAACGGCCAGAATTGATCAACAGAAAAGGAGTGGTCTTTCATTATGATAATACCAGACCATCTTTGGCCACTCAGCAAAAATTGAAAGACCTTGGTTGGGAAGTGTTAATGCATCCACCATGGCTATCACACAAAATTCACAGCTCATTCACTCAATCTCTCAGTAATTTTTTGATGGTTCTTTGGTAACCATATCTACTGCGTATGACTGTTTGACCTCAGACTATTATGTGTTTGACATTAGCAGTATTCATGGAAACAATGAATGTTTTATTATATTTAAATTGTTTTAACATATTATATATAAATTTGAGCTTTCTACCAGTCCTCTATATATAATTATACAAAAACCTTTGAGCAAGAAAAAAAATTACAAATAGCTGCAACTTCAAATGCAGATTTTTCCACTTTCTTCTTCTTCTTTAGTCCCTAAAAGTCTACAGATGAACATTGGTCTCTTGCTTTGTGTCTCAGTAGGCAGTTTGATGATAACATAATCAGACATCTCACATCTTTGATGGTACAGCTTATCACCGGTCTAGTTATTTTACTTTTGCATCAATGAGATGAAACAACATAGTATGTTGGATATATTTTTCTGGCACTTGCCGTAATATTGTTTAAGTTTCCATTGTAATTTTATACCTTTTAAAATTTCAGTTGTTTGATACAGTAAGCAGTACTTATACATATATATTAGGTGATATGAGGACAAGTGAGGCTGTGCTCATTGACCCAGTATTAGAGCATGCTGAAAGAGATGCTACGTTAGTGAAGGAGCTAGGCTTTAAATTGATTTATGCCAGTAAGTACAAAAAATGTTTTTGTGTTGCAATTTTACAAGTCTCTTATTTTTGAGATGATTTCTAGAGCAGAGGGAAGTTTGCGCTCTCTTATTGCAATTTTTGCGGAGTTTTTCTTCACTACTGATCATGTGGTAAATAATCAATTAAAATTGCAGTTTCATTGTTGCCAGCAGATGATTAAATTCAGGTTGCATATATTGCTCATGTTGAGATGGTTTTTAAAATAAAAACAATAACCAAAGTGGTTTTTTTTTCATTTTATAAAATACTATAGACAAACTAGTTATAATTTAGTACAACCTATAAACAGCATTACAAAATAATAATAAAAATCTTTAAAAAGTATTCTCATATTATCTATTATTATACTATATCATATTAGTTATTTCATAATTTTTTCCACATATATTTTATGTGTATGTATAATTATATTTTATTTACATTGTTTTAGTTTACATACATCTAGAGTTACCCTTTTCAAAACCAAAATATTATTTACTACCGATACCTACTAAGGTTTTCATGTAACAATTTAAATTGTTTATTATAATTTTCAGTGAACACACACATGCATGCAGATCATATAACAGGGACAGGCAAATTAAAAACACTCCTCCCTGGTACAAAGAGTGTTATAGGAAAAGCATCAGGTGCTCAAGCTGATATCCATCTTCATGATGGAGATCTTGTTAAATTTGGGGACTATCAACTGACAGCAGTTTCCACACCTGGGCATACAAATGGATGTTTGACTTATATTTGTCATCAACAAGTAAGTTTTTATAACTTTAACCTTTCAGAAATATGATACAAGTTAAATAATCATTATTATCAGTCGATCATAGTGACACTATACTATCAAGTGACAAGACCTTTTCATCCTTTGTATGTAAAAGATTATTGAAAGTCCAGAGAGGTATTATGGCTTTTAACATTATATATTTTTAACGGTGGTAGAGCCACACAGTAGTTTTTGCTGTTGAATGTATGGGCCGGCTCGAGCCGGGTTAGTACCACGACCTCACAGAATACCGGCGCGAAGTAGAGGCTCTGCTTCTGCGTTTCGTCTGATGAGTGCAGGTGGCCGGAGGCCCAATTCCCTCCCCCCCCCCCCATCAACATGGTAGCGGAATTACACGATAGACTACCCCAGGAGGGTACCAGTACCCCTGGAGAATCCCTCGCTGAGCATCCACGACCATGTTATTCCAATCCTGAGCGTGGGTGCTCAGGCTGCCCCGCGTATTCTGGGGGGGCAAAATTCCGCTCAAATACATAACTGCTCGGGGCAAACTGAGCAACAATACCATGGCGACCCCTGCCACGCTATCCGTGAATTTCTGCAACATCAGGGGACTTCACTCTAACCTAAACGCCGTTCACTACCATCTCGAAAAGGCGAAGCCGGCCTTGCTCTTCCTGACCGAGACGCAGGTTTCCTCTCTGGCTGATATTTCGTATCTGTCCTACCCGGGGTACAAATTGGAGCACTCCTTTGTGCCTCGGGCTGGAGTTTGCGTGTATGTCAGAGAGGACATCTGTTCTCGAAGCCTCGGCAGTCTTGTAGGTTCGGACCTGTCCATCCTTTGGCTACGCGTAGACAGCGACGACCATCCGCGCGTCTACGGGTGCCTCTATAGGTCCCATAGCGGAAATGCCGAAACAGACCGACTCATCGACCACGTCCAAATGGCTACAGATTCCTTGCTACAACAGGTCCCATCCGCAGAGATCGTGATCCTTGGCGATTTTAACGCCCACCATGCCGAATGGCTCGGTTCACGTTTAACCGATCATGCGGGGAGATCTGTTTATGACTTTGCCTTGGCATATGGTCTGACACAACTGGTTACTTCTCCTACGCGGATTCCAGATGTGGAGGATCATACACCTTCCCTGTCGGACCTTTTGCTGGACCTCTCATCCGGACGGATATCAGGTTTCCGTCGATGCCCCTCTCGGCTCTTCGGACCATTGTCTGATCCGGAGTGTGGTGCCACTCACGCTCCCTTCGCGGTTGCGTTCTGCAGGTTGCCACCGTGTTTGGCATTACAGGTCGGCGGATTGGGATGGAATGCGGTCTTTCTTTGCGCTTTGCGCTGTTGCTGACTCTGTCACTGATGTGGTACTACAGGGAATGGAACTATTTATTCCATCATCTGTGGTATCCATCGGAGGCAGATCTCAGCCTTGGTTTGGTCGCTCCTGTAAGACTGCATTACGCAGTAAGCAGGAGTGTTATCAAGCCTGGGCTGCGGCTTCGGCGACTCGGGATGTAAACACCAGCACATTTAAAACGAAGTATAACTTCGCCTCCAGGTCCTTCAAAAGAGTTATTGCCAAGGCAAAGTCAGAGCACATAGGCAGAATTGGCGAGAAACTAGTTCGCCTTCCTTCGGGAACCCGTGCATTCTGGTCTCTTGCCAAGGCTGTCCAAGGGAATTTCTGTAAGCCATCACTACCATCTCTGCACAGGGAGGACGACTCACTGGCCCAAGACGCAAAAGACAAAGCTGACCTTTTAGGCTCCTTTTTTGCGTCCAACTCGACTCTTGATGACGGGGGGAAAACACCGCCGACCAACCCGCGGTGTGAGTGCTTCATGCCGGATGTGCTGTTCTCACAGCGCTCGGTTCGCAAAAGACTTCTCTCCCTGGACATCCAGAAGTCGAGTGGGCCTGACGGAATCCCCCCAATTGTGCTGAGGACGTGTGCTCCGGAGTTGGCACCGGTCCTAACGCATCTTTTCCGGTACTCCTACTCCCAAGGCGTAGTCCCGAATTCATGGAAGACAGCTTTAGTCCACCCGATCCCTAAAAAAAACGACCGCTCAGACTCGTCCAACTATAGGCCTATCGCGATCACCTCCTTGTTCTCCAAAATAATGGAATCCATTATTAACTGCCAGCTCATCCGGTACCTTGAGGATCACCAGCTGATTAGTGACCGCCAATACGGTTTTCGTTGGGGTCGATCAGCTGGTGATCTTCTGGTCTACCTGACCCATAGATGGGCGGAGGCAGTAGAGTCCAAGGGGGAGGCGTTGGCCGTTAGTCTGGACATTGCGAAGGCCTTTCGATCGGGTTTGGCACAAAGCGCTTCTTTCGAAGCTCCCTTCCTATGGGCTTCCCGAGAAATTGTGCAATTGGATCACCAGCTTCCTTGCAGATCGGAGCATCAAGGTCGTTGTAGACGGTGCATGTTCTGACTACAAGCCTATTAACGCTGGTGTTCCACAAGGCTGTGTGCTATCACCAACGCTGTTTCTTCTGCATATCAATGATATATTGCTAACTGGTAACATTCATTGCTATGCGGATTACAGCACTGGTGATGCTCTATACACCGGCCGTGCCAATATTTCTCGGGAAAACGTCGCCGAGTACCGGAACAAACTTGTGTCTGAAGTCGAGTCTTTGTTGATCAAAGTCTCGGATTGGGGGCGACTAAATCTAGTCCAGTTTAATCCTCAGAAGACACAAGTTTGCGCGTTTATCGCTAAAAAGAACCCCTTTGTCGTATCTCCTCAGTTTCAAGGCACTCCCCTTCTTGCCTCAGCCAGTATCGGTATCCTCGGAGTCGACATATCGAGTGACGTGCAGTTTCGTGGTCACTTGGAAGAGAAGGCCAAATTGGCCTCTAAAAAGCTGCAGAGCGGGACAGTATTTCATGCCGGCACACCGCCTGCAACTTTACAAGGCGCAGGTTCGGCCCCACATGGAATACTATTCCCATCTCTGGGCAGGGGCTCCCCAGTGCCAGCTCCTTCCACTAGACCGCACCCAGCGCAGAGCGGCTCGAATCGTCGACGACCGAGCCCTTTCCGATCGGCTCGATTCATTGGCACTGCGAAGAGATGTTGCATCCCTTTGCATTTTCTTTCGCATCTACTATGGGGAGTGCTCTGAGGAATTGTTCGGATTAATCCCAGCCGCCAAATTTCACGAACGCACATCGCGGCAGAACTCCCAATACCATCCACACCATCTGGATGATTGGCGGTCCACCACTGTGCGATTTAGAAGATGTTTTCTTCCTCGCACAACTTCCTTGTGGAATCGATTACCATCAGCGATTTTTCCGGACCGATACGACTTAGGGACCTTCAAGAAAAGAGCGTACTCCTTTTTAAAAGGCCGGCAACGCATCTGCAATTCCCTCCCTGGTGTTGCAGTTGTTCATGGGCGGCGGTAGTCACTTACCATCAGGTGAGCCGCATGCTCGTTTGCCCCCTCTCCTATAAAAAAAAAAAACATAAAGTGATATATCTATTTCACATAATGTGCTAGATGTGAAATACCTACACTAGGATGGGAATCAGCACTAAAGGTACAAGATTTCGGTAGGTAATTTGCCTCCAAAAAAGGGTGGCGATAATAGAAATTCCTTCTTCCAATTATTACTCTTTGTATTGTAGTATTGACATATTTTCCATCAGTTGCCATACCACATGTAGACAAGGTTTTTTTTAATAGGATAGGGTGACAAACGAGCACATAGTCCACCTGATGGTCAGTGGTTGCTGTGACTCATAGACATCTCAATCTATCCTCAATAAAGAATCAAAATGCAGATACATTGTTACCCGTGAGGACTAAGTTGGAATGCCTCGTTTCCAGTAAAAAGGGTCTCCGGTTCTCAACATTCACCATACGAAACACAGCAGTGTTAAACTGCTATTTTACGCTGGTTGAGCCGACCCATTCGTGCTACGGGTCTGTTACGGGTTACTGGTGCTGAAATTCATTTCCTCTACACCCTGATAGCTGTTAGAAGCTAATAATGATTAATTAAAACTTATTCTTCTTTGAAAACATAACAACATAGCATCACACTTGTAATCCCCAAGGGAGCAGGCAAAGCCCAACTCACTCGGACTATGTTTAGCCACAACAATGCAGGTTTAGATGCATAATTGTGGAAGAAGTGATGGATGGTTAGCCCATTGCCTACACAATCACTATTCCAATATCCCATTAGTCGCCTTTTACTACATGCTAGGAAAGTAACATAAATGACATAACTTTTTTGTTATAAGTCCCACATAATCATGGTATTTATAACTCCCCTAATAATGATCTTTACGCCTTCATTTTTACGCATATATATCAATATATTATGTATATCGATATCTAAGCAAATAGTGTTTGAACCTGCTGTGAAAGTGTTCACGCAAATTCTTTTGTAGACTGCAGACTTATACCACATGAAATGTATCAATAATAGTGTAATTAATCATGTTGAAATCCATGATATTAGTTTTATAAGTGTTATCAAATATTATGTCTTTACTTACACCAATTTACTTACACCTACACAATCACTATTCCAATATCCCATTAGTCGCCTTTTACTACATGCTAGGAAAGTAACATAAATGACATAACTTTTTTGTTATAAGTCCCACATAATCATGGCATTTATAACTCCCCTAATAATGATCTTTACGCCTTCATTTTTACGCATATATATCAATATATTATGTATATCGATATCTAAGCAAATAGTGTTTGAACCTGCTGTGAAAGTGTTCACGCAAATTCTTTTGTAGACTGCAGACTTATACCACATGAAATGTATCAATAATAGTGTAATTAATCATGTTGAAATCCATGATATTAGTTTTATAAGTGTTATCAAATATTATGTCTTTACTTACACCAATTTACTTACACCTACACAATCACTATTCCAATATCCCATTAGTCGCCTTTTACTACATGCTAGGAAAGTAACATAAATGACATAACTTTTTTGTTATAAGTCCCACATAATCATGGCATTTATAACTCACCTAATAATGATCTTTACGCCTTCATTTTTACGCATATATATCAATATATTATGTATATCGATATCTAAGCAAATAGTGTTTGAACCTGCTGTGAAAGTGTTCACGCAAATTCTTTTGTAGACTGCAGACTTATACCACATGAAATGTATCAATAATAGTGTAATTAATCATGTTGGAATCCATGATATTAGTTTTATAAGTGTTATCAAATATTATGTCTTTACTTAACATAACATTGCTGATTTGTTAAACTGACCACTTTGAGCTATGATTCTACTTAAGAGTTCTAAATTCAAATAAATTTTATATTTAAGACATATTACTCCTGCTACCATTATTCAAAAACAGTTATTCTTTTGTTTCTTCAGTAAGGTTTTTGATTTTTCTGCGAAGAAAATTCGTGTTATTTTTATATTGTATATACCTAATTTCCGACGTGGAAACCTCTCCAACGGCACGCAATATCAATGACGTATACGTACCTAGTACTAACTAACGAACAAACTGTGTTTTATTGATTTAATCGCTTTCGTTCGGGAAATTAGGCGTCACAAATATACCTTACACGGAAACCTTGACAAAATATTGTTAATACGTGGTAGAGCCATGCTACAGCTATATTAGTAGTATAATGGTAGCATGAATGGGTCGGCTCGACCGGGGAAGGACCACGCTCTTACAGAATACCAGCGTAAAATAGCAGCTTAACGTAACGTAACGTATGGTGAGTGTAGAGAACCGGAGACCCTTTTTACTGGAAAAGATTTCATCCATCTTATTCCTCACTGGTGACAACGCATTTGCATTTTGATTCGCAAACGAGGATAGATGTAGATGTCTATGGGTCACAGCAACCACTTACCATCAGGTGAACTGTGTGCTTGTTTGTCACCCTATCCTATATAAAAAAAAACAAAATACAAAAACCTTTTTTATGATAAAGAGCAATGGCAGACTTTCATACATAAAATTAGTTGAGAAGAAATGGTAGCGTCTATATATCAAAAATATCTTAAAATGTTAAGCGTCAGTCCCTTAATAACTCTGTCAAAGTATTTTGTACTGAGAAGGCGTCAAAAAACAGATATTTACATTTGAACCTTTTTAGGTTATGTCCTATGTCACTTGGAAAAAGTCATGCTTCCTGTGGTTGTTTGATGTTAGCTTAATACATAATTGAGAGTTTTTAGATTGTTGTATCTCTATTATATATTTGCATACTATAAATGTATATTTCAGGCATGGTTCCATGGCTTTTGTACCATAGTGACATTCTCAGAAGGGCTAGAACCCAGAGCCGTAAAGCCAGTAAAAAAAAATAGTGACATTTTATTTTAGCTAGTGTTGCCATAACATTAAATGGAATTGATACATAGTACTATGATTGAGATAATGTATTATTGTAGGAAATTCTTTGTAAGAGACTTATTTTCAGCCATATTACTTTTATTTTTGTTATTACTGATAGTACAGTTATTACTAATAATAAATTAATATAAAAATATTTTGTGTGTTGTATTGGTAGTGTTACAAAGTGTATACGAAAATAGTAGGAATATACTAAATGGCAACATTTGAATATAGTAAAATGATTTCAGTCATTTGATATTCCCAAAAATGTTTGTTTTTTTCCGTGGCTTTAATTAAAATACATTTTTATTTGAAAAATCATAGAAAAATAATAAAACTTATTTTATATATAACTTATTTCTAGACGCTATAATTTTTGTCAACTATTTTTCTGCCATTGCTCTTTAGAGAGTATTTCGATGAAAGAAGCAGGGAAAAAGGAATATGGTATAAAACAATTCAAAATCAGCCTCTTCAGATACCGTGGTATAATAATATTGAAATGAATAGAAACCATATATTGCTACTCATAGGTTATGTTCTGGGCACTACCCCAATAAAAAAAAATTGTGTTTTTGGTGCAAAAAGCAGACTCGGCATAACGGAAAGGGAGAATCTGGTAAAAAAATTAATATTAATTTGTGTGAAACGGGTTGGATTTTGAGTATACTTGCGGAGCCACACTCGGTGATAGCAAAATCATTAATTTGTATGTATAATTATCTCATTAATTTCCCCTTTCTAAATACTTATAATTTGTGTAACAGGAACAAGGTATGGTACGATAAGGCTGAAATATCCTTGTAGGATAAAAACCTTTTTAAATAAAGATAGATAATAAAAAATATATACCTTGTGATCGCCCAGAGAAGAAAGTTTATAATGACAAAATGGAGGCGATAGTGGAAGCAGATCCATCTCAAACAAAATACGGCTGATTTAGCGTCGGCTTTTGATGTAAGTGTCATAACAATATAAGATCATTTGCAGCTAATCTATAAAATAAAAAAGCATGTGTGCAGTTCACACGCGGTAGAAGTGAAACCTTCAAATGAAATATAAAACAAAAATATTTCACAGCAAATGATTTATTTAATTTGATAATTTTCAACGACAAGTGATTAAAATATAAGATAAAAGTTAAAATTTAAAGCAAATAAATATTCCAATACTTATTTTTTGACAAGTAGAGCCTAAATTTTAGTGCATTAATTAAATCAAAGTAATATTTTCTTTCGATTAATATTGCTTTGTAATAGCGACGTCCACTTCATTTTATAGGTAAAGTCATTTTATCAAACAAAAATTGGTTGACTCGTATGTCATTGGTGGTCCATGAATCGGTAAGATATAAAATCGTGGATTGCTAAGAATCGTTTGGCTATGATCATTTTAATCAATATAATTAATTTTATTTATTTGATAAAATTCTTAGTTTTTGTATCTTAACAGTTAAAAGTTACATTAACCATCTTCAAAGTGTGTGTGGTACACAGAGGAGACCGAGATAATAGGAATCACTATATACTGTACTAGCTGTGCCCCGCGGTTTCACCCGCGTATATCACGCGTCTGAGCGGCACGACATGACTCCTCGCTCATAGAGGCGTTCACTGCTGGTTTCTCTCGATTCTTATCGGGTGACTAGGCATCGAACGCGCGCCGAGCCGAGTGTTGAATTTATTGTAATTTTTATTATCTCGAACTATGCGTCCAAATAACATGCTATAAAGAGCAAAGTTTATCTTCATAAAATTGTCTTGATGATGAAGTAACTTTTGTTCGTAAGGATTAATATGTCATGCCTAATAATAACGTTCATAAATCACTTTGATTTTCAATATTTTTTCTACAAAATACCTTATTGTAAGGGAATATCGATTAGATTCGCTAACTGCGGTGTGAAATGGAGCCTATATGACAACCGCTAGCATATTTTGTGTTTAGATCAGTGCTTAGATTCAGGTGCAAAGCCAAACAATGCCCAAAACGAAATACAAGTCTGAAGAAATTGCTCTTCACTATTGTTTTTTCACGACAACGCCTGACCATAAACTGCACAACGGACCTTGACAAAATTAGCAGAGCTAAAGTTAGTACCACCATATTATCCAGGTTTTGCTCCAACAGATTTTCAAGTTTTTCATAACTTTTTGTAAAGAAAAATTCGATTCTTAAGATACATCGTCTTTCTTCAAGAGCATCAATAAACTGTCTAAAAACGGCAAGTATATGTGTGGCAAGGGCAAGTTTACGCAAATATTTTGATTATTTATATTTGTTTAAAAAATATGTATATTTTCCCATACAAAACGGAAATTTCATGGGTAAAGCTAATATAAACAAATAATTCACTTATGATTTTATACATACAGAATTAGTCTTATTGTTGTCATACAAATTTAAACTAAATTTGAAGACTGAAAAAACAATTTATATCCTGTTCATATGGCCACACAAATGTAAGGTGTATAATGAACCGATTTTTTTTATAGGGTTTGACAAACGAGCACACATTCCAACTGATGGTTGTTGCTGTGGTCCATAAACATCTACATCTACCCTCGACTACGAAACAAAATGCAGATGCGTTTTCAGCCGTGAGGACGATGATGTAATACCTCTTTTCCAATAAAAAGGGTCTCCGGTTCTCTACACACACCATACGAAACACAGCAGCAATAAGCTGCTATTTTACGCTGGTATTCTGTGAGATCGTAGTCCTTCCCCTGTCGAGCCGACCCATTCGTGCTACAACTATACAATTAATATAGCTGCAACATGACCACCTAAAAAAAAACACGTAAATTTACCAAACGTGGCAATCTTCCTAACTTGGAAAAGTTCCACCTTCCTGAATGACTAGGGTATAAAGGGAAAGAAATGCTTTGAATTCTACACAAACGACGTTATAGATGCGTATCATATAATACATATCGATAATTCTCCCTTGTCAAGTGCATTCCTAACTAATCGAAAATGAATTCTATTTATCACGCTTATCTCCACTGAGTATACCTAACACTATTTATACAATTTATCAAAGCATTACTTTATAAATGTGTAAATACATTTTATATAGGTAATCAATGTTGAAAATTGATAATTTTTAATGCCATTCTTGCGTGTATTGTGGAGAATCAGTTACCCAATTTGGTTCCGTGCGTGTAATTTGAGGTGACTATGGAAAACGCTTGTAAAATCTTATGGTTTCCGATGGATGGCGATATAAAAAGAATAAAGAGTAAAATATCTCTTGAAACTGTATAAATGAATGTGGTTGCTTCCAAGCAGTTTCTAAAATAAATTTTATAAATAGTTTGTAATTATTTATATTGTAAAATTTATTTAAAAAAGTCCCGCTGGGTTTCTTGTTGGTTCTTCCCAGGACAGAGTTTTTTTTTCGAACCAGTGGTAAAGTAAAAAATGACTTTCAATAAGAATTACACATGTGATCTATATTGAATAAAAATTATTCTATTCTATTCTATCGAGATTCGAGATGTGTATAGGGACAGGGAAAGATGCAAGGCGTCTGGTGCAAGAATAAGAAAAATTCCCCATGCAACATCAGAGAGTCCCTGTTGAGCTGCGGACGTTGGTGTGGTTTACGGGCTAATAAAGATGAAGAAGGAAATTCTTCTTTTTCTTTACTGACATGTAACCAAGCTGGATATTAGCTTCTCCCATTGAAGTATTATTGAGGAACATTGTCATAATCTATATGCTTATTGCATGAATTGCGGAATGCTAATCACACTACTAGATGTCTCGCACTTTCGAGACGCTGTTCTCGGTCTGCAGTGTGTAATCTATGTATAAGACGGACGGACCGGATCCTATCGGAGGCCTGAGATATAAAATCACTGGATTGGCGACGTTAGGCATGTCGAAAGTGTGACACGTTTAGTACTGAGATTCAACTGTCTACCTGATGGTAAGTGGACACTATTGCCCATAGATTTTATCCTCGTTTAAGATCAAAGTGTAGATGTGTTGCACTCCTGAGGACTAAGATGGAATGCTTCTTTTCCAGTTCAAAGAGTCTCCGGATCTCTACAGTCGCCATACAAAACACAGCAGCATTAAGCTCATATTTTATGCTACTGCTACACTTATGACCTTGGGACTTTCAGGAAAATCTTCTGACCTATGATAGATGGCAGTATACTATTTTACTTACCCAACTCCAGACTTATTTACCCATAAAAAGAGATTTCGCCCATCCGCTTGTCAAGCGTGACGATTTAATCAATCCTCTAAAACGGTAGAAGCCCAGAAGTCCATGCCCAGGAATAGACTGTTAGAAAATACTCTCAACTATTTAAGTAAATTAATACTATTTAGTAAAAACTTTAACTTTTAAAATATTTATGAATCGCATTAGAAGGAAACTCACCAAAATATGTATGTAAAGATGTAAACAACAGCAACACCGCTCTGTGCGTGTGCTTATAATGCTTGAAAGAGTTGGGGAACTTTAACGCTTATTAGTTATCTACCCTCATTCCTAAAAGGAATTTTACAGACTGATGATAATTTTTTTTTTTAAACTTTTTGTTTCTGTTAATCTTCATTTGTTTCAGTGCATGGCGTTCACCGGTGATACACTCCTCATACGTGGCTGTGGCAGAACAGACTTCCAAGAGGGCTCTTCCGAACGGCTCTACCAATCTGTCCACAGCAAAATCTTTACTCTACCAGATCACTATACTCTGTACCCTGCACACGATTACAAGGGTCAGACGGCGACCACCGTGGGCGAGGAGAAGAAATACAATCCAAGACTGACGAAAACTTTGAAGGAGTTCGTTCATATAATGGACACATTAAATTTGCCTTATCCTAAGATGATTGGTGAGTGATTGCTTTATTTTTATATTTCCTCATCTATAAACTTGTTTGTACATGCTGATCGCGGCCGCCGCTGGGCATCGACATTAGATATATAACTTCCGATTAAAATTTAACGGAACCGAAATTGGAATCGAAAGTGCAATATCAATCGGAAGTTCCGAACTTTCGGAATCGGAATCGAACCTCCGTAACATCTCTACTACATACTGTCTGTGTTTAATTATAAAGGACGGCGCTCTTTTTTGTAATACCAGTCTTCTGTCATATAATATCATATAGAATATTGGCGTAATCTATTCAGTTAAATTCAACCATTGACTTATCTTTCCAAATTATACTAAATGAAAAAGCGATGACTTGGTCAACACTAATCTAGACTCAAACAATTTATTTTTTAAGCTTCTATATTCGGATAGTTTACGATTCTAAAACCGGTTTGGTTTCGTTTTCGATTCGAACTTGACTGTAATTGTTTTTCCCGAACCAATTCTAATGAAAAACATGATCGAGTTGAGAGTTACGGTCAAGTGTTATCAGTGCCATTAAACACATCCGACAGACTACCAGCGTGATGAAAACCGGAGATTCTTTTCACAAAACGATAAAATGCAAAAAATAAAGAATTTTGTGCAATTCTTAGAGGATACTTCAAAAATTAGTAAAGGGTAATTACTTTCTAAGTAAGCTAACAATCAGATTAAGCATAATTGGGACGGGGTCACAACAGTGGTCAATTTCTTAAATGTGGTAACAAATGCGGTCCACTCATTGACTCATCATCATTATATTTTCTTGTTCGAAAATTCACGCAGTGAGTTTTCTCACGAAGACGCAAGATGAGTTGACTATGTAAAATATAATCAGAAGAACAATCTGGACAGTGTGCTGAACGATATTGATAATGTAATTGTGATGGGCGACTTTAATCTAAATTTTATCGATTTGGAGTTTAACGATGACTCTAATCACACAATTCCTACTAATTATAATAATAATTTAGGACGCTGTCTGGTGGACTGCTTGTCTATGAATAATCTGTACCAATTCAACCATATAAGGAATTCGCATGGTAGAACCCTGGATTTGGCCTTAAGTAGCTTGCAATGCCTAAGTGTCTCTCAACCCTTAGATTTGTTAAGTAAACTTGATCTATACCATCCCCCTCTACTTATTGAAATATCAGAACTTAATTTTGAATATGATAATCTGCTACCCAAGCCACGTGTAAAACATAACTGCTACAAGGCAGACTTTGTTTCTTTAATTCTGGAATTGAGTTGTACTGATTGGTTTACTATTTTTAAGGACTGTAAGGACGTCAATGATTTTGTTACTGAATTTTATACAAAACTGAGGAGTGAAATTGTCAACTACGTACCCAAACACACATCTAAGCCAACTCGGAACCCACCATGGATTACGAAAAATGTAATAAAACTTATAAAAGATAAGGAAAAACTTAGAAAACAATATGCCAAGTACAACAATCCCAGAGATAAGCATGACTACAACCTTCTTTGCGAACGATGCCATAAACTTGTCAATATCTGCTACAATAATTACATGACGAAAATTGAGTCTAGCATCTGTAAAGATCCGGACAAATTTTGGCGTTTCATCAAACATAAGCGTAAAGGTCTTTCTTTACTTCCCGCTAAAATGATTCTGAAAGATTCAACTGCATCCTCAGGCACCGATATAGCGAACGTTTTTGCACTTGTCACTTTTCTTCCGTGTACTCCAATAATAGCATTACCGATGTTTCTGATAGTGATGATATTGCGAATACGAGTAATTCCATTGCTAAGCTTAAATTGAGCGAGTCACAAGTGTACACAAAAGTACAACACCCCAATGAAAAAAAAGGACCTGGCCCTAACAACATACCACCCCTATTTGTGAAACGCTGTGGATTCGTTCTTGCCTTCCCGTTGACATTAATATTTAATTGTTCTTTAAGCGAAGGAAAGCTTCCCGATGAATGGAAAAAAGCCAGAATTATCCCTATTTATAAGAAAGGTGACAAGACTGATGTCACGAACTATCGACCTATCTCCATATTATCGTGTTTTTCTAAATTGTTTGTTTACCCCATAGTCTACAGCCATACTGAAAACATTATATCTCATTTCCAACATGGTTTCAGGCGTGGTCGTTCGGTAGAATCTAATTTGTCTTCCTTCGTGTCCGCGGTAGCACGACGTGGACAGGGGACTGCAGGTAGACGCAATTTACACAGACTTTTCAAGTGCCTTCGACAAGGTTGACCACCAAGCCCTGCTGTCTAAACTAAGAGGAATAGGTATAAGTGGTCCACTGTTGCAGTGGTTCGAATCTTACCTGGGAATAAGACCTCAGCAAGTGGCTATAGATGGATTTTAGTCTGAAATGTTTTTGGCTGAGTCTGGTGTTCCCCAGGGGTCCCACTTGGGTCCTCTACTCTTTTTGATATTTATTAATGACATAGCTACAGATATAGAAAATAGTAGTATATCTATGTTTGCTGACGATCTCAAATTGAGTAGAACAATCAAAGGTCCCGGGGATGCTGACCTCCTGCAATCTGACTTAAATAAACTCATGGATTGGTGTGCAATTAACGGAATGATTTTAAATCCTAATAAATGCTACCACATAAGCTACACCAGAAAAAGACGCCCTATCACTACTACCTACTCATTGGGTGACGTGACCTTGACGGAGGTGAGGGAGATCAGGGACCTTGGTGTCTTGTTGGATTGAATGATGTAACTGACCGCTCACACTGATAATATCATCAAAAAAGCGGCTCGTATGTTGGGATTCCTAAAAAGAAACGCGAAAGGCTTTCGATGTGTCCAAACTAAGAAGGTTCTTTTCAATGCACTAGTACGTAGCCACCTCGAATTTGCAAGTGTCGCATGGAACCCAGTCTATAGTGCATCTTCTCAGCGAATCGAAACAATTCAAAGAGCTTTTACGCGCTTCCTTGCTTTTTGTACTCCAGGCATATCGCATAGACACCCCTATAGTCAGAGGCTAGCATTTTTCAAAATGACGACCTTACGTGACCGACGTCTCATTGCAGACTTAATGTTACTACACAAGTTACTGCATAACAAAATCAAAAGTACGCATCTCGATCGCACCAAATTAATTATCCCGTACATATATCCCCGATATCCAATTCGCAAACTATTTAGCATACCTGGCCACAAAACAAATTTAGGTGCGCATTATCCCCTAGCCAGAATATGTAACACATACAATGAAATTATGATCAAGGTACGGAACATAGACATTTTCAACGACTCTGCCCGATGCTTTAAAAAAAATTACCAATTTCTCTTCACCCTCTCAGCACACACTCATTCCTTAGTCAGTTTTTTCTTAATGTAAGTTATTTTGTATTAAGTACCTTTATAATATAATAAGCTGCACATTACGGTAAATGTTGTGTATACCTGTAATTGGCAAACATATTTAACTGTTACGGCTCTCAGTTGCCCAGACAGAAGTCGACTGTATTAGGGCCCATCAGTAATGCACTCGACGAGCAACCAGAGAGTTCGGGCCCTAATGGCCTTATGGAGAGTTGACCTACACGATATAGATAAGCTAGGTAAATAAATAGTACGCACCTGTTCAGAGGCGAAGAAGGATCTCAAAAGGCTCGTTCAGGCGTTAATTGTCGTGAATTAGCCCCTTTTAATCAGCAGCAACCCTGACTCCAGCACCGCCACCCTATGTGGTATCACTTCAGCGGCGTCACTCGGTGTCACTCAAAGTCTAGCGTTCATTAGCACAAATCTATAATCGAATACGAACGCTGGTTCTCGCGGGTCACAAAGTTTAGCACTTGATGTTCAAACGCAACTAAATCCCGTTAATTATAATCAAAAACATAACACGCGGCACGGCTGATGAGCGTTGGTCAAAGTTCACTTCCGTTCACTCAGCAACAAATTATTTCGAGAAGCGAACGTGACCTTTTTAGGCACTTAACGCGACGGTACAATTAAACATTAACTTCCCAACAATTAGTCAACCCGGAGTCTAATGTTCTAGACTACACAATTCCTCGTCGTTGCATAAATTTGCTAACAAAATCGACACGATCAGAGGTAACCTCGAGTAGACTCACAGCAATACTATATATAATAGACAACCGAATTCGAGACGGTCTTCACGAAACACAATTTAAGTAGCGAAGTAACGTGCACAAATACTGAAAATCTAGACCTGGTAAAACCAAAACTGGTCGCACGAATTCGCTGCCACGGTCACCACAAAGTTACGTTGCGACGGCGTCGCTGCACTTAAGCTACTGTTTTCAGCCCGCGCGTTGAGCGATTGCCAGCGGCACGCGACCGCCCCCCTCCTCTTCGGCGGTGTTTACCTCACCTCACACCATTGGGTGAGACACTAAGTCGTACGTGATTGGATGCCTCTTCAAATGCCTATATTTGGGCCTAAACAAAACCCCGTCCCGGACCGCGTATATGTCCGCGAGCAAACCAGCAAGCGGGACAGGGTCGCGACGGCACGTTGCAAGACCGAATCTACAACCGAAATAGGCCACCTTATGCGCCCCATCAGATCTTGCAACCTTAACCGGAGGGTCGAACCTCCACTGGATGCCCTTCCTGGACGTCGCAGCACCTAAATAAGTCCTATCACTGGACAGAAGTCCTTTCAAACACATATCTGTGCCCCTATGATTCGTTCCGCAATCCGACCGGATCAGGTCTGCAAACAGCGACGCTATACGAAGCGGCCCAGCGTGGCCACCCAAGCTTCAGTGCAGAGAGTACCCATCAGTTCCACATGAACGGCGTCTATGGAGAGCCAAACGAAACGCACAGATAGTCCTTAGTATGAATTTTCAAGCAAGCAGGCATGACCAAGCCATCCACCATATAATCATTTACTCAATTGTGCGGCAGCTGATTTCAATCTGATAATCTCCCAACTAGCTAGCCTTTTAGACAAGTAGTACTATGCTCATATTTCAACCAATTTTCAAAAGCATCAATGTTCAACTACGGAATTAATTCAAACAAATTAATTTACCGATGGGCATAGATCAAACAGACAAATGAAACAAAACGCTAAACGTAAGAGACAGCCCTATTTCTCTTTCCAAATAAATATCTTCGACAGTGCCAACAAAAATGTGAAAACAAAGAGAGGATTGATTTTTATTTCCTTCGGCACTAATAGGGTTATTCAATTTCAATTTTCTTTTCAACAAAGCAAACACAATGATCAAATACATTTACAAAACTATATGCACACGCATTCAAAGAGCACATCATTATTACTTATTTTCTACTAACAACCGCTACAACTATGAAACATTTCGCGGAAAACCCAAAGCATTTTTATTTTTTAAATTAAAGCATCGTTAATTAAGTGCTCGACCAAACCTATACTTTTGTTATCGTGTTGTTGTTAATGTTTCATGTGTTTTGTTGCTGTGTGTGTTCTGCTGGTGTACCTTATAAATAAATAAAAAAAAAAAAGAAATTTAATCGAAAATATTAAATCAATCATGAAAATGAAATATATAAACAATGTACCTTTTTTGGAATCGTGTATTATGATGTTTGATTTCGATCAAGTGAAGAGTACTTTATAACCTTGAATTTAAATCAAATTCAATTGATTCAAAACTCTAATCTGTCGGAAGGCAGGTTAATTAAAGGCTCCTTTTCTGCCTAGGTGTCCGTCTAGTTGAATACTAACCTCTTACAGTATAGTCTGTTCGCTAAGATAGTGTCGGTATATTTATTATTTTGCTTTTTATTTTATTACTAGCTGTGCCCCGCGGTTTCACCCGCGTCATCACGTGTCCGAGGTGCGCGACATGACACCTAGTTCAAGCATTTTATAATTGCAATTTAATATTTTATTTGATAGCAATGTATAGAAAAATTGGCATAATTAATGGAGTACTTTTATTATGTATGATTTAGAGGGAAGTTAAGTTTTATCCACTTTCCCTCCCCCTCCCGGTTCAGTGTCCTTCCCCTTCCCCCTCACGTCCCAGTAAGTGTCCCGAAGCGCGGTTTTTTCTAGTTTTAAAGAAAACCGTCAACGATACATGAAAAGTGTCTAGGCATGAAATGATTCTTCATAAATTTTCTATAAAACTGTTATACTTATTAATCAATAAAATTTTCAAAATACCAGAGCAACGTGAAATGAAAGAGTTCAGAAATAAAGATGTAACTAATCATTGTCATAAAAGTACCCAATTAATTTTTAATTTATTTTAGCTATAATTATTGAACTAACCTCGCTCATAGACGCTTTCAATACTGGGGTATATGCGCCGTTCGCACGCCCAGCCAAGTATTGAATTATTTTAATTTTACATTATCTCTTAAACTATGCGTTCAAATAACATTGTATAAAGAACGTAAAGTTTATCTTCATAAAATTGTCTTGATGATGAAGTAACTTTCGTTCGTAAGGATAAAATAGGCCATGCCTAATAATAACGCGTATAAATCACTTTTTAATTTTCAATACTTTTTTGTCACAAAATACCTAATTATGGCTTATGCATAAGAAATAGACATATGGTATCGCGGAATTTGTTTAGACGGAGTAAAGATCTATATTTTTCTAGAACATTGTATTTACGTATCCCTAACCATAACACCAGCGTACGCGGATAAATCATTTCGGTAGCGCTTTTTCTTCTGACTTGCTTAACAAATATCCATATTTATGGCTAGCTGAGTGATATAGCTTAGTGCTAGATAGACTATACTATTCCACATGAATTTGGCTATAATATACAAAATAATTTTTCAAATCGGACTGGTAGTTCCAGAGATTAGCGCGTTTAAACAAACAAAAAACAAACAAACTCTTCCGCTTTATTATATTAAATAATATTTTATTATTTTTTACTGTATTTATTAAATTACATAATGTTTTTCTATTCCAAGGATATAATTACTATTTTATTCTTATGGTTATTGTAATAAAATACGAATATAAATAATAAAAACAAGTTAGGTAGCGAAGAACCTTTCACTACGGCCTTGTTTTAAAATGCCAAATTCTCCTTCAGATGTACGCCGCACGCGACGACCTTTTATGTCGCGGCGGCATCTTTGACAAAATGCGGCATGTGCCAAAGCTTGCACGCGACACAAAGGCGATCGTATCTAAGCGAATAGACTATATAGCAGTGCTTGCATTGTTGTGTTCCGGTCTAAAGAGTGGTATAATTACAGTATGGGATGTATTCCATCTTAGTTCTCAGAGGTGACTACGCATATGTAGCTTTCTTTATTTGAAGTTGGTTGCAGGTATCTATAAACTGCAGTTGATTTACCATAAGGTGGACTGTGCGTTCTTTTATCAGTTCACTTAACCTATGTCACACTGAATTATTTTATCTTATTTTGTCTTTTTCAGCTTTCCTTATTACTGGCTTTATTAACTTTTTTAAAAGCCATCCGGCATGTATCTCTTCTCTCGTCTCTTCTTTTTTTAAAAACTTTGCTCTCAAGTAAGAATTTTCTGCTGTAAAATTGTGTTGTTTTACGCACTTTTATTGATCATTAATAAGCAACTACATTTAAAATAATTATTTATAGGTAGGGCCCAAATACTTGTTATAAAGTTATAGCCTATATATACATCCCACTGCTGGCAATTAGTGCGTCACGCTGCCTTAGTGCGTGTTTACGGAGTCATGCAGGTTCGCTAACGATGTCTTTCATCATCGTCGAGCATGTTCTAAATCAGCACTGGAAACAGGGTTTCTCGCTTACTATGAAATTAACGGCGAGCGCTTGGACCCCAAGGCACCACTGCTGAGTACAATACTGGCACTACTACAAAACAAGGCGCCACAAAATATTTTGTAGTAGCACCAGTCTGCAAGACTTGGTTGCGGCAATTTTGAATAGATATGCACGTTGCAGTCATATTATGTCGTTCCCCAGAGCTGTGTGTTATTTGCAGGATGCATGAAATTATCTCATTTGTTGTAAAAGGGCCATTTAGTGACATATTATATATTAATTATATTTATTCTCTTAAGATTTTTAACATATCGTAAATAGATTACGTTATTTTTTAGTTATTATGTAAGAATTCATGTTGATTTTAAATGAAATTCTATAATTAATTAATAATATTAATTTTTCAGACAAGGCGTTGCCAGCCAATCGAGTATGCGGTTTATATTGAATATGTTTATAATTTAAGGATGTAAATTTTTTATTGTTACTTTTATGTAACTTGTGTAATATATATATTTTTAAATTATTATTATATGTTTATAAGCGAAATTTTAACATTGCGTTATTTATTAAATGTTATGAAATTTCTTGAGATTTATTGTAAATTATTTTTGTGATAATGTTATAAATGGGAATTTAGTTAAGCTATATAAATGAATGAAGCAGTTGATACCTATAAGGATAAAATATTTTTTTTATCTCTTTTTATGTAAAAATGTCTTGTTAATAAAATTTTACAACATTTAACGCAGCTTTTTTTTTCAAAACTTCATTTTGCAGAGGCATGTTGCTGCTGCACAAACGACTCCATTGAATTTGGTAAGACCACGCACTGAATACCAACTAAAATGCAGCATATTTCGTACGGTGAGCGATGAGAACCAAAAATCCTTTTATACTCGTATAGTTTCATTCTACCTTAGTCCATAGGTGTGAAAACACATTTGCATTTTAGTTCTTAATCGGGGATAGATTTCACGATGTTGGATCCTTTGTGCCTAAGGGCGCATCCAGGATTTCTGGGAGGGGCACATGGGCCATGGGTCAAGTGTCCGCACACAGTGTTATACGAGGTGGCCCAGAAAGACCGAAGTGGTGTGAATTCCTTATAACTTTTTTATTATAATTTTTTTTTTCTTTTCTTTTCAGTATTTTGTAAAGAAGACTTGGATAATTTATAATGGAGCAATACACAATTGAACAACGTGCCCAAATTGTTGAAATTTACTTTTCAAATCAACGGTCCATTGTGTTGACTCAGCGTGCATACCGTCGTCAATTTAATGTGCGGGTTGCACCCTCTCAGTCAACAATAAACCGTCTGGTTGCAAATTTTCGAGAACAAGGAGCAGTAAGGAACCTTCCTGGTCCCGGCAGACACCGAACTGTCCACACGGCTGACAATATTCAAGTGGTACAGGAGAGTATTCGGGAGGATCCAGAAACATCAACCAGGAGACGTTCGTCACAACTGGGCCTCTCAAGAACGTCGCTGCAGCGAATTTTGCACACCATAGGATTGTTTCCATACAAAATTCAACTTGTCCAAGAATTGAAACCAACAGATTACCAGCAACGACTTGACTATGCAATTTATTTCCAGCAAAAAGCACAAGAGAATCCAAATTTTATTCATAACTTAATAATGAGTGACGAAGCCCATTTTCAATTAAATGGGTTCGTTAACAAGCAAAACTGTAGGATATGGGCTACGGAAAACCCGAGAGTACTTCATCAACGACAATTGCACCCAGTTAAGTGTACCGTTTGGTGCGGTGTTTCTTCAGAAAGGATCATTGGCCCATTTTTTTTTGAAAATGAACAAGGTGTCGCAATTTCCGTCAATGGTGATCGATATCGGGCCATGTTGCAAAATTTTGTAAGGCCAGCCGTGGAAAACCATCCGCAAATATGGTTCCAACAGGATGGAGCCACAGCGCACACTGCGAGGGCCACAATGACTCTTTTACGCGACATCTTTGGTGAAAGAATAATTTCTCGTAACAGCAATTTTAATTGGCCTCCGCGTTCCCCGGATTTAACCGCTCCAGACTGTTTTCTTTGGGGCTATTTAAAAGGAAAAGTTTATGTTAATAAGCCTAGGACTATTGAGGAGTTAAAAACCAATATTCGAGAAGAAATTAACAACATACCACCGGAAGTTTTGCGAAAGGTCATGGAAAATGTGTTGGAAAGAGCACATTTGTGCGAAGCAGAATATGGCCACCACTTGCGGGATATTATTTTTAATAACTAATCCAAAAATATTCCCCATAAATTTAATGTATTTAAAAAAAAAATTAAAAAAATATCTCTTAAATAAAAAGTTATAAGCAATTCACACCACTTCGGTCTTTCTGGGCCACCCTGTACTATATTGTTTTTGGGATTAATCCTTTGTCAATGAAATACAAGAGTAACTATTAAAATACTTGTAATAAAGATTAAAGACAAATTACATGTTTATTAGAGATAGCTTTCTTTTGTGTTTTCTACTGAAGGCATCAAGTACTTCTTCAGTGTTCATCTACGTAGCAATCTCTTTCTTTATGAACCTGCGCTTTGTAAAGTTGCAGGCGGTGTGCCGGCATGAAATACTGTCCCGCTCTGCTGAGCACGCCAAACTTTTTAGAGGCCGATTTGGCCTTCTCTTCCAAGTGACCACAAAATTGCACGTCACTCGATATGTTGGCTCTTCGGACCATTGTCTGATCCGGAGTGTAGTGCCACTCACGCTCCTCTCGCGGTTGCGTTCTGCAGGTTGCCGCCGTGTTTGGCATTACAGGTCTGCGGATTGGGACGGAATACGGTCTTTCTTTGCTTCCTACCCATGGGGGCGGGTTTGCTTCTCGCCGGATGATCCCAGCGCTGCTGCTGACTCTGTCACTGATGTGGTGCTACAGGGAATGGAACTATTTATTCCATCATCTGTGGTACCCATCGGAGGCAGATCTCAGCCTTGGTTTGGTCGCTCCTGTAAGACTGCATTACGCAGTAAGCAGGAGTGTTATCAAGCCTGGGCTGCGGCTTCGGCGACTCGGAATGTAAACACCAGCACACTTAAAAAGAAGTATAACTTCGCCTCCAGGTCCTTCTAAAGAGTTATTGCCAAGGCAAAGTCAGAGCACATAGGCAGAATTGGCGAGAAACTAGTTCGCCTTCCTTCGGGAACCCGTGCATTCTGGTCTCTTGCCAAGGCTGTCCAAGGGAATTTCTGTAAGCCATCACTACCATCTCTGCACAGGGAGGACGACACACTGGCCCACGCCGCAAAAGAGAAAGCCGACCTTTTAGGCTCTCTTTTTGCGTCCAACTGAACTGTTGATGACGGGGGGAACACATCGCCGACCATCCCGCGGTGTGCGTGCTCCATGCCGGATGTGCGGTTCTCACAGCGCTCGGTTCGCAGAGCACTCCTCTCCCTTGACATCCACAAGTCGAGTGGGCCTGACGGAATCCCCCCAATTGTGCTGAGGACGTGTGCTCCGGAGTTGGCACCGGTTCTAACGCGTCTTTTCCGGTACTCCTACTCCTTAGGCGTAGTCCCGAAATCACGGAAGATAGCTTTTGTCCACCGATCTCTAAAAAAGGCGACCGCTCAGACCCGTCCAACTACAGGCCTATCGCCATCACTCCCTTGTTCTCCAAAATAATGGAATCCGTTATAAACTGCCACCTCATGCGGTACCTTGAGGATCACCAGCTGATTAGTGACCGCCAGTACGGTTTTCATCGGGGTCGATCAGCTGGTGATCTTCTGGTCTACTTAACTCATAGATGGGCGGAGGCAATAAAGTCCAAGGGGGAGGCATTGGCCGTTAGTTTGGACATTGCGAAGGCCTTCGATTGGGTTTGGCACAAAGCGCTTCTTTCGAAGCTTCCTTCCTATGGGCTTCCCGAGAAATTATGCAATTGGATCACCAGCTTTCTTGCAGATCGGAGCATCAAGGTCGTTGTAGACGGTGCATGCTCCGACTACAAGCCTATTAACGCTGGTGTTACACAAGGCTGCGTGCTATCACCAACGCTGTTTCTTCTGCATATCAATGATATGTTGCAAGCCGGTAGCATCATTGCAATGCGGATGACAGCACTGGTGATGCTCTATACACCGGCCGTGCCAATATTTTTCGGGAAAACGTCACCGAGTATCGGAACGAGCTTGTGTCTGAAGTCGAGTCTTTGCTGGACAAAGTCTCGGATTGGGGGCGACTATATCTAGTCCAGTTTAATCCTCAGAAGACACAAGTTTGCGCGTTTATCGCTAAAAAGAACCCCTTTGTCGTATCTCCTCAGTTTCAAGGTACTCCCCTTGTTTCCTCAGCCAGTATCGGAATCCTCGGCGTCGACATATCGAGTGACGTGCAGTTTCGTGGTCACTTGGAAGAGAAGGCCAAATTGGCCTCTAAAAAGCTTGGCGTGCTCAGCAGAGCGGGACAGTATTTCATGCCGGCTCAACGCCTGCAACTTTACAAGGCGCAGGTTCGGCCTCACATGGAATACTGTTCCTATTTCTGGGCTGGGGCTCCCCAGTGCCAGCTCCTTTCACTTGACCGCATCCAGCGCAGAGCGGCTCGAATCTTCGACGACTGAGTCCTTTCCGATCGGCTCGACTCATTGGCGCTGCGAAGAGATGTTGCATCTCTTTGCATTTTCTTTCGCATTTACCACGGGGAGTGCTCTGAGGAATTGTTCGGATTAATCCCACCTGCCAAATTTCACGAACGCACATCGCGGCTGAACTCCCGATACCATCCACACCATTTGGATGATTGGCGGTCCACCACTGTGCGATTTAGAAGATGTTTTCTTCCTCGCACAACTTCCTTGTGGAATAGTTTACCACCAGCGATTTTTCCGGACCGATACTAATTAGGGACCTTCAAGAAAAGAGCCTACTCCTTTTTAAAAGGCCGGCAACGCTTCTGCAATTCCCCTGATGTTGCGGTTGTTCATTGGCGGCGGTAGTCACTTACCATCAGCTGAGCCGCATGCTCGTTTGCGCCCTCTCCTATGAAAAAAAAATGTATTTTTCGATAATGTTTGTCGCACCTACCAACAAGTTGCTTTCAATTATTCAAAGGTGGGAAATTTACCTTCGCTATTAATTTTTTTACGTGGTAGAGCCATTTTGCAGCTATATTACTGGTATAGTTGTAGCACGAATGGGTCGCTTTGACCGGGGAAGGACCACGCTCTCACAGAATACCAGCGTAAAATAGCAGCATAACGCTGTTGTGTTTCGTATGGTGAGTATAGGGAATCGGAGACCCTTTTTTACTGGAAACGAGGCATTCCATCTTAATCCTCACGGGTGACATCGCATCTGCATTTTGATTCGTAATCGAGGATAGATGTTGATGTCTATGGGTCACAGCAACCACTTACCGTCAGGTGGACTGTGTGCTCGTTTGTCACCCTAATTCTGTAAAAAAAATCCTTTTTATATTAATGCTTTTATATCATAGACCTTACTATCATAAGTCCCTAATAAAGGACTATACGAGGGCGGCACTGAAAATTTTGGGAATCAAGGAAGTGACAGTATATAACAGTTAACATTACTATTTAAAAATATATTTATTGCTTTTCGAAGTATTCTCCGCGAAATTTGACACATTTTTCCATACGATGGAACCAATCGTTGAAGCAACCATTCCATTCGGAAGTTGGGGTCTCCAAAATGGCCGTTTTGTAGGCGTCCATAGCTTCTTTAGGTGATGAAAATCTCTTTCCACGCAATTTATTCTTTATTTTAGGGAAAGTATAAAAATCATTAGGGCTTAGGTCGGGGCTGTACGGCGGATGGTCTAATAATTCTATGTTTTATTGCTCTAAAAACTCTTTTGTTCTGTGTGCGGTGTGAGAACTCGCATTGTCGTGATGGAAGGTGATGCGGCGGTTGCAGTTCTCTTTACGGAGTTCAGAAACGACCTGTGGCAAACAAATGCTAGCATACCATTCTGCATTAATCGTTCTTTGACCGACTATTCCTCTAGAGGGATCAAGAGGAATAGTCGTAACATGGGCGGTTTTGGAGACAAACGTGGCCACCATTTTTTTTGCAACACTCCGTGAACGAACAATTTTTGTTGGTGTTAACTCATTTTCGAACACCCAAACTCGTGACTGGTTTTTTGTTTCTGGTTCGTACGCGTATATCCAGGATTCGTCACCTGATACGATGTTGTATACAACATTTGAGGATCCTGCGTGGAATCTTTCGAGAGTTCTGACTCACCAAGTAACGCGAGCCGCTTTTTGCTCTTCACAGAGTGAATGCGGTATCCATCGGGAAAACAACTTTTTTACACCTAATTGTTCATGCAAGATTATTTGTATTTGACTCATGCCAATTTCTAAAGTTGCTTGAATTTCGCGGTATGTAACATGTCGATCTTCCTCAATCAGCTTACGCACAGCATCAACGTTTTCTTGGGTGACTACAGTTTTTGGACGACCTTGACGGGGATCATCACTGAGCTTGACACGTCCACGTTGAAATTCAGCAAACCAGCGATAAATTGAGGTTTTGGATGGGGCTTCATCACCAAATGCAGAAATCATCCGGTCAACACACAGTTTTTGTAGTAAACCACTTCGAAAGTCATAATAAATCATCGCTCTTGAATTTTCTCGAGCCAATTCCATTTTCTCAACGACTAAACCTTATTTAGTTTTAAAGTTTGACAAAACCTTGTGGCAAGACCGAGAATCTTTTTTTAAGTAAATTAATGGTATTCAATTTTAAAAAACCAAGGTGTTTTCAATTGAAAAGATTTTAATATGACAGTGGAAATATTCCATTCCCGATACTTTTAGTTCGGTCAGCCGGCCACCCATACCCTGTTTCATTTCCCTAACCTCTCACGACACCCAAAGGATGATATGGAGTCCGCTCCATAACTACACAAACATTTACAACTACATAAAACATTTTTGCCATTTTAAACTTACCTTTTGTAAGTTTTGTTAGGTAAAATATCGATATATATATACATATATATATATATATATATATATATATATATATATATATATATATATATATATATATATATATATATATACACGTATGGACATATGTACAGACCTTGGGTATGCGTCTCCTCCGACATTTCCCTAATATAAGCATTTATTACAAGAATACCCTCCAGTAATACAATAAAGTTGTGTATCGCCAGCAACGCAAAATCGGAATTTGCATTTAGAGAAACCCAAAATTAGGGGCTTTTTAGGTGTCAAGTTTAAAAATTAGGTGCCCTAAAATTTTCACCGCAACGAACTGTTGAAATTTGCGTTGCTAGCAAAACGTCTCGCTAGCAACGCAATTAAGTTATTAGATATTCGATAAATATTAATAGCAAGGAAGTAAGTTCTAATTAGGTGCTGCAAGTATAGGTAATAACAAGACCCCCTTAATAAAAATAAAGTAGCTATTCAGAACATAGCAGATGCAAAATTCAGG